CCGCGAAAAACACAATTTTTGCTCATTTTTCAAAGTTCGGAGCCCGCCAGCGCGCTTGATTTTGCATTGAGCAAAAAAGTGTATTGGAACTTTTTTATAGGAAATTTAACGAGCTTTATTTCTGAAAATGACTAATTTTATCGTCAGATCAATTTTTGGCAAGTTACAGGTCATAATCCGGAAAAAAGGCCGATTTTAGGCCATTTTTGCCAAATTTGGCAACTTTCCGGTCCGAATTTAATAGTGCAAAGTTGAAATTCGGATTCAGCGTCAAAAATTACGAAGGAATAGCTGAAAGCATAACTACCCGGGATTTTTGCAAAAACCGCCAAAAAACGCAATTTTCGTTCATTTTTTGAAGTTCGGTGCCCGCCAGCGCGCTTAATTTTTCCTTGAGCAAAAATGTGTATAGGAACTTGTTTATGGGAAATCTCACGAACTTTTTTTTTAAAATAACCAAATTGTCGTTAGATCAATTTTGGACAAGTCACAGGCCATAACCCGCAAAAAACCAAATTTTCGCTCATTTTTCAAAGTTTGGAGCCCGCGAGCGCGCTTGATTCTGCCTTGAGCTAAAAAGTGTTTCGGAACTTTTTTATAGGAAATTTAACGAGCTTTTTTTCTGAAAATAACTAATTTTATCGTTAGATCAATTTTTGGCAAGTTACAGGCCATAATCCGGAAAAAAGTCCGATTATAGGCCATTTTTGCCAAATTTGGCAACTTTCCGGTCCGAATTTAATGACGCAAAGCTGAAATTCGGATTCAGCGTCAAAAAATACATAGGAATCTATGAAAACATTGCTACCCGGGATTTTTGCAGGCTATAGCCCTTTTCATGGCTTATTTGCCTGGACTACTAGCTCTTTACCGCATGCTGGGGAAATGTTTTGGTCGCAAACTATAAGAGCGGAAAGGAGCGAAGGTCGGGAAAATCGGCTATTTTAAACTGCGCGCGGCGACGGACCAGGAGACATGTGGCAACAATGCAAGTTCGGCAGAGGGGTGTGATTCGCCGAACTGAGTGGGAGGGGACGTTTTCCTCCCGATCAACGCCGCGCCGCGACCAAAACATTTCCCCAGCATGCGGTAAAGAGCTGGAAGGGTTACAGAGAGTCAGAAACAACATATCAGTTTTTCATCAAAATAAAAAAATGGCTATTTTTTAAAAACCCATTTTCTTGCCTTTGGCTTTGGCTTGGCTAAAAAAATGGCCGAACGTGAAAAAAATAAGGGGCCTTTTTTGAGTGTTCCGGCGCTTCGGAGGCGATAACTCAAGCTGAAGTTGACAAAACCCCATGATGTTATCCATTTTCTGAAAGCTCTCGTCACGCTGAATACGCTCGTTTAAACCGCGTTTTCCAAAACTTCTTGGTTTTCGAGTAATAAATTCGCGAAAATTTTGCCGGTTTTTAACTTTGACCCCCCCGCCGCGTCCCCCTAAAATTTTTGGGGGGCTTGAAACTTTGGGAAAAGATGGGGCATTGTTTGGAGAATGAATAGGGCAAGTCTCAAAGGTATAATCCGCCCGGAGCCCCAAATGGCCCGTTTTGCACGTACCCCTTTTGTTCAAATCAAGCACAAACTTCGGAAGATACGAATGAAAGCGTTAAAATACCCGAAAATAGTTCACAAAAAGGTGTATTTTTTTTTTTTTTGGGGGGGGGGGGGGGATTCCGGCGGATAGGATTGGGAAGCCAAAGTTGCCCAAAATTTAAGTTTTAGGATCCCCTCGATGACTTCGGATACCCAAAGGAAAAATCCATGGACAGGGTAATTCTTTATGCTGATCTGGGGATACTCTTTTATTTTTTCGGAAAAAAAGAGATAAAAAGAATCATGGGAGGAAATACAGCGATGTGTAATGCATTTAGGCTGTCTTTGCTCAACATAAACCGTATAAGTGAACCAATTTGGAGGTATTAATCATGCGAGGTTCGCCATCAATTTCCTCGGATGGGCAACAAATCCACGCGAATAATAATCTTATGTAACCGGCAAGTATCACTAAACTTTTATCAAGATCCACACTTTTATTTAGCCAATTGGCGATGTTTGAGACCAAACTACTTCAATTTTTGATCCCCAAGGAAATTAATGTCTTTCCATCCTACCTCAAAAAATGGCTCGGACAATTATCGTTCTGATTTTATGAAAAAGGGGACGCGGATATATATCAGACAAACAAGTGTTAGGAGAGTAGGTACACTCTGAAACTTTTCAAAACTCAGCGTCTGTCCCTTCGCAGTTTTCAGCTTGTTCTGCCCGAAGATCAATTCTTCAGGGAAGCCTCATTTGAAGACAGTTAGCCTCCGATACTTTCTGCAATTTAATATACATGATTCAGTCAGTTAAAGGTTATCAACTGTCTAAGTCATAGCTAAAGAGCTGAGACGTTCATACTCCTGTGTGCGAGCTGGCAATTGATTTTTTGCTGCTATATATTCCTCGGTATGTCTAGCCCTGTCTAACAGGGCACATAATATAGGCACTAGCCGAGGGCTAGCAAATTTTGTAGAGAGGAAAGAGCGGTCAGAATATAGTATTTTTTTAAAGATACCGTCGCTCAGGTGTGATTCGAAGAAAATTAAATCTAACTTTCTCATTAATAGACAGAGACATCATTTTTTCACAATTTGCTGGGGATGCCCTCAAACCCCTCTTAGTGTCAAAGGTTTCCCGCTGAAACCATCAGGGGGGCAGCAAAATACTGATTGCTTCGGGTAGTAAAAAGTCAAATTCGGGCATTGCTTTCATGGGACAATAGGGTGCGGCTTATTTGTATGCTAAAAAAAAAAGTTGGAAAAGTTCAGCTCCCCGGTTTCCAACAGGTGCCAATACATAAAAAAAAAAAATTCCTGTAAAGTTTCAGACCGATCGGAGCATTTTTAGAACCTCCGCCAAGGAAGCTTTTATCAAAAAATCGATTTTTTCACTTTTGCCTCTAAATAGCTCGCCCTGTAATCAAAAATGGCCTTTTTTCTGCAAGAAAAACGCGTCGTAGCGAAAAAATGCTTATTTTCCAAATAAAAGTCCGTGAAATTTTACACGAGAATCATATTAGATATGACGACAAATTTTGAAAAAATCACCAATAAAATTCATCCATTGGGACAGATCTCCAAGCTCACAAAATTGTGCCTGCACTCCGATAGTATATGCAGAAAAAAAGAAAGTTGGCCACTCAAATAGGTTCTGGGGGTGATAAAACTACAAGTTGTTTCTTAATTTTTTCTTTTTTATCGAAATAAGTCCAAAAATACCACCCATTGCTCTCCTTGTAGCGCTTTAAGTAATAGAACCGGTTTTTACTATGAAGAGGGCCTTCAGAGAGAAAATATGGATACAAAAATTTAAAATGCCCAGAACACTAACCAATAAAGTTTTTTACGGTTAGATAAACTGCAAGCTTTCAAAATGTTTTAAAAAAAATTGCTATTACGGTCATAACGAAGTGTTAAAATGACAGACCTGCATATTTGCTAGGAACCATCCGGAATTTTTAAACGTTAGATTAAGGCTCTCTTATTTAGCCACGGGCCGTTAAGAGGCATATTGCGGGGTTGGCTCAAGCTTTTTGTGTTTCGTTTTGTTTCAACTGATTCAAAGTAAACGTGATTGCTTATGCGCATCGGTTCAGACAATGATCAACAGATGCAAATCATTAAACCGCGCGTGAAAACTGACAAAACGATGACGTAACTCATCCGCTGACAAGCAGTACCGTGTTCACTAAATAGACTGATTTACTTGCTTCATCATTCGATATGACCCTCAACCCTCGGTTCAAATGTAAACAAACACAGAACACTGTCCCTGATTCGCGCCATTTCGTGCCATTTCGCGCCATTTCGCGCTAATTCGCGGCCTTCGCACCATAGTGGTAAAATGCGTCCAAGTGCTTCTTACAATTGAAAGTTCTTGTATTAAATGAGTCTTTAGTTAATTTATGACCGGCCAATGACCACATTTTAATAAATTAGCACAATTAACTCACTTTGAATCAGTTGAAACAAAACGAAACACAAAAAGCTTGAGCCAACCCCGCAATATGCCTCTTAACGGCCCGTGGCTAAATAAGAGAGCCTTAATCTAACGTTTAAAAATTCCGGATGGTTCCTAGCAAATATGCAGGTCTGTCATTTTAACACTTCGTTATGACCGTAATAGCAATTTTTTTTAAAACATTTTGAAAGCTTGCAGTTTATCTAACCGTAAAAAACTTTATTGGTTAGTGTTCTGGGCATTTTAAATTTTTGTATCCATATTTTCTCTCTGAAGGCCCTCTTCATAGTAACAACCGGTTCTATTACTTAAAGCGCTACAAGGAGAGCAATGGGTGGTATTTTTGGACTTATTTCGATAAAAAAGAAAAAATTAAGAAACAACTTGTAGTTTTATCACCCCCAGAACCTATTTGAGTGGCCAACTTTCTTTTTTTCTGCATATACTATCAGAGTGCAGGCACAATTTTGTGAGCTTGGAGATCTGTCCCAATGGATGAATTTTATTGGTGATTTTTTCAAAATTTGTCGTCATATCTAATATGATTCTCGTGTAAAATTTCACGGACTTTCATTTGGAAAACTAGCATTTTTTCGCTACGACGCGTTTTTCTTGCAGTAAAAAGCCATTTTTGATCACAGGGCGAGCTATTTAGAGGCAAAAGTAAAAAAATCGATTTTTTTATGAAAACTTCCTTGGCGGAGGTTCTGAAAATGCTCCGATCGGTCTGAAACTTTACAGGAATTTTTTTTTTTTATGTATTGGCACCTGTTGGAAACCGGGGAGCTGAACTTTTTCAACTTTTTTTTTAGCATACAAATAAGCCGCACCCTAATGGGACAATAATCCATAGCGATACCCCCAAAACTGGTAAGTTTATGCCACTCCCGGAAAAATACTCAGACAATGCCACCCCAACGAGTTACGTCTAACACGCGCCGTCATTGTTTGTCAACTCACTTTTCTTAGATTCTTTTTTTCCTTTCTGTTCACAGACGCAGCGACCAGAACAAAGCGTCATGCAAGCTTTAGAAAGTTTAAACGACTCACAGGTAAGTCCAATATTTCATGTTAACGTTGCATGGAATGAGTAGTAGTAGTTAATAAACTAACTTCACAATCACTTTTCTTGTCTAAAAATTGCTCGGCCAGCAGGAGAAATTCTCCTGAATCTTACAACAGACAACTAGACAAAGCACGAATTTAAAAATTCTGCTGCATAATTCTCTCTCCAATTTGCACAACAAAAATTACTGAAAACAACATCCAACCAACATATTAATGTTTTTCTTTAGCAACGGTTACAATTTTGGATATCCCTATCACATGAAAAACCAAAGTCTAGCGTGCTATGCTATTTTGGCAGGATTTTTAGTGGAGCAATTTAGGTCCCCCTCCCCCTACTCTGTGTTGTTCAAAGTGTGAACGTGCAACAGACCGTGAGCCGACAAGAGGTAACCCACTCCCTTGGGAATTTTGAAAATGGTGATATCCTTGAAGCTCTCTACTTGTACAAAGAGGTTGTTCCAAAATCGCCAAATTTGCCCCTCCCCCCCTCCCCCCCTCCCCCTGGATTTGGCCCAAACTTTTCTCAGATGTTAACTAGGTGTCCCATATGCTTCGGCAAAATTTCAGCCCCCTTGGATAATATAGGGGCAGAGGGACAAAGTTGTAACTTTTTCAAAACTTTATAAATCTATATCTCGCGGACGGGTTGAGTATTAGTGTTGCAGTTTGCGCTAAAAAACGTTAACAAAATATTCTCTTCAAGAATATCAATGCTTATCAGTCAAAAATAGATTTTTTCGATTTTGACGGCTTGACTTTTTTCGTTTTTCATCTCTCCTCTCCAGGTGATAGTCGCTACGTGAATAAAAACCTCTTGAGGCGATTCTCCATAGAATTTTGCATCTGCCCCCCTTTATTTGACCTCGGGGAAACGGTTCGTTCCTGAGATATAACGATTTTTCTACGCGTTCCCGGTTACGCGCGCGCGGCATATCGGCGGCGCTCCATCCCGCGCGGGCGAAGGAGAGGTTGTTTCACCGCTAGGGCCTTATATTCATGCTGTAGTCTGTAATTATCGATATTTTTTTCTTCCCCCTCTAATAAATATATTTTTAATACTTCGTTATACAGCGTTGGTTCGTTTAAAAAAAATAGTGCTCAAACAGTTTGCGCTGCTTTAAAAAAGAAAGGAAGAAAAAAATAAGAAGAAGCGACAATTTCCTTACTTCGAGTTGACATCATTGTGAGAACCGTCACTGCTTGTATTCTCAGAGGTAGGTTTCAGGAGTGGAAAGTGACGATCCAAGAATGCAGATGGGCTTTTGAAATCTCCATTGTGGTCCCCGCAACTTAGGAACCACACTATGGCCAGAACATGCGCGCACGACGCTATTGTTCTTGCACCATTTTTGCAAGTACAAAAATTTCCAATCAATGATTCGAAGATAGTTTTACCTTCTAATTCAATATAATAAAAATGGAATAGACTTTTTGTGATTAGTGTCGTCAAAGAACCGCTTTCCGTAAAAGCAAAGCTCGAATCTTGACAGCCTACAGGATGGCTATAAAGCCCTGGCGGTGAAACAACCTATCCCTTGCCCGCGCAGGATGGAGCGCCGCCGATATGCCGCGCGCGCGTAACCGGGAACGCGTAGAAAAATCGTTATATCTCAAGAACGAATCGTTTCTCCGAGGTCAAATGAAGTATGGCAAATGCAGAATTATATGGAGAATCGCCTCAAGAAGTTTTTATTTACGTAGTAACAATCGCCTGGAGAGGAGAGACGAAAAACGAAAAAAAAAATCGAAGCGTCAAAATTGAAAAAATCGATTTATGACTATGATAAATTACGCAACCGTCCCAACAGCATTAATATTTCTCTAGAGCATATGTATTTGTTGACGTTTTTTAGCGCAAACTGCAACACTTCTCGTACACTCAAACCGTCCGCGAGATATCGATTTATAAAGTTTTAAAAAAGTTGCAACTTTGTCCTCCTACCCCCTCCCCCTCAATTATGCAAGGGGGCTGAAATTTTGCCCAAGCAACGACCCAAAGTACAACATGTGAGCAAAGTTTGGGGCAAATCCAAACGGTGGGGCCAAGATTGGCGTGTTTGGAACAACCTCTCCCCCCCCCCCCCCCCCNAAGCAAGAACCTTCCCGGAATTTCGGCTGCCTCAAATGTTTCCATTTTTCTCTTGGAAAGCTGACTTTTCAGCAAAACTTCATCAAACTGAGCCGAAGCTCCTAAAATTTTGATATGGCAAAATTTTGAGTGATATACGAGAAGGCACCCAAAAAAAACTGGAATTTTCCTGTGACTTGGCTATGGTAGAGAATATCCGAGTCCTACCGCTGGGAGGTGTAACTAGGAGCTATGAAGAGTCACTGGGTCTTTCAACGTCGCACGGTGGGAAAAAACAGACCTTGGGACGGCGTAAAATCTGTAACTCGGAGGGAGATGCATATTTTTGCTTCAAATTTTGCACAGATCTTCTTGACGGTATGCTTAGCTCATATACGAAAGATCAGGAATTTTGACTCTCGTTTTTGGCCTTAAAATAGCGGCCAAAATTCAAAATGGCGAATTGTTAAAAATCCGCGAGCTCAGCAACTTGCTCCAGAATTTTAATTTGGCAGGTGAGGTATCGATTCCTATGTAATTTTACTCGTAAAACTCGAATTCTTTTTCGAAAATTCGAAACAACCCACTGGGTGAGTCCAAGTTCGAAAAATAGGCCATTTTGAGGCAAATTTAGGTCAAAAATGAGTATCTCCAACAGATTTCAACAAAAATGGTATGGTTTCATGGGTTACTTTCGTCAAGCATTTCTATCTACGACTAGAACACCACTCAAAATCATCCTCAGAAGTCTACTTTGGAATTTTGGCGCCAAAAATGGGCCTATTTGGGCCTAAAACCGGAAATTCGTCAATAAGGCCGTGTAGGGTATTGATTCTGTGGAATTTCGATCAAAATTACAAATTTGGTGTTGAGACTAAACGAAAATCAAAATTTGGCCCATTTAACCAAACTCGAATGGTGCCAAAATTTTATTCATAATGCTGAAAATTTTAATAAATCACTTTTAGACGGTTAAGGAACGAATAACATCGAATACCACGTTCAAATACACACTTGTCTAAAGTAGAAGAAACCTCTTAACTAAAAAACTCAACGTTTCTTGCTCCCAATTGCTTACCGACATTTTATGAGCCAAAATTGGGGAAAGAACAGGCCACTTAAGGTAAATATTGACTGGTTAATTTAACCGGAGCAAATGAGGTATCAATCAAATAGTAATTTTGAAGAATTCTCTTTGGTTTTGAATGAAAGATATTGAAAAATTTACACGTGAGTCCGTTAGGCCCATTCAAGCCCCGAAAGATCCAAAATATGCCTAAAAAATGACCAATTTGGGCCTGTTTTCCTTAGCTTTTAATAAGAAAAATATATAATTACGTATTAATTGTAAATAAATACCAAAACAATTCTCGGTAGATGTCAAAGACTGACTGAAAACTTGTATTAACCTCTTATGAGAAAATATACACTTTATCAGCTGACACTGACATTGTTGTCAGATGAACATTCTCCCGAGGGGGCGAAAGTGATTACAATTCATACACGACGTATTATAATTTATTGATATATATTTGTGGTTATCCATTTTATATGCTAATTATGCCACTGCTGCTACATGCATACAATGCCACTGTCTTACGGGCGTCCCTTGCAGTTGAAATGTCACTGTCTTACGGGCGTCCCCTGCAGTTGAACAGTCCATTGTTTCAGAACTGATTTAGTCCCACGGAGATCAAAACGATCACTGCATGGAATCATTAGCCCACGGAGATCAAATAGATCACTGCATGGAATTTTTAGCCCACAGAGATCAAATCGAACACTGCATGGAATTATTAGCCCATGGTGATCAAATCGATCACTGCATGAAATTAGATTTTTATGAACTTCATTATCCACAAGAAATACTGTCTCATTAAATACCTTAACCATATGAAAAACCATTGGATAAGAACATAGGCAAGGGAAAAAGAGTGCAGTGTACGGTTGAATTGTGATTTGTTTGATTCGGATACGCATTGACGGAATGATTGTTGTCGCCTTCTCCGAAGTTTTCCGATGTTAATCTGTTCTCTCCAATAAGCTCTGTCAGTTTGTCTCAAGTTCACCAGAAGATTGTTTGAAGTTGATGATTTATTTTCACATTAGACTTCAAATGTTTATGCTCTGGAGTACAGGAAGATTCGCTCAAAATGGTGCAGCATTTAATTAAATTATACTCTGATCATTTGATTTGGGTAAGCGATCACAGGTGATGATTTTTTATTCTTCTTGAGTAATCATTCCTGGCCAAATTAAATTGTTGCAGTGTGAGTGCACGCCTCCGTGCGGTTGTGAATGTTAAAGCACTCTCTGCTCTGCTCGTTATTCTAGACGGACTTCTTTTGCGTTTCTTTTCATCATCGTCTCTCATCTATTTGTTAATTTGTATATCAACGGAGGGTGGTGGCGGTTAGGTATAATACAGCAAAGTAGGCGATGAGCATTCAGTCAGGGTTTCATACAAGATTTCATGCATAGGATGTAGGATGTACATATGACAACACAAGATGGACAGGAGAACATAGGACGGACGGGACAGCAGAGGATATGGATAGGCTCGGTTTAGTTCCTGCAGTATTTTTGCTCTTTGTTGATAGTATGTTGCCTGAAACAAGATGACAACAGAAACAGAAAAACGAACTATCTATTTTGCACATTGATATTAACTTGAGATCATAATGATATGTCTGATAATATCAGATAATTTAGTCCGTTTTGCTTCTACACCTAGTGTAAAATCCTATTTACGTTCTTTCTTATCCAGAGATGCCACTTACCTCCACAGCTAGAAATTATACCATGGGTAAGAATCGCTTTCAGTACTACTAATTGCCAATACGGGAATTTTAATACTTTTTGAACTTTACTCTGTGGCACATTCGATCGATAAGGATCAACACTCTTATTATGTAA